GATGATCCCTTCAGGACCAGTGGTGAGAGTGGCAATACTGGGAGGGTGGAGGGAGGGTGAGTTTGAAAGGGGGAACTGATTACAAGGATCTATATATAAAACCTCCTACCTGGGGGATGGACAACAGAAAAATGGGTGAAGGGAGACATCGGACAGTGTAAGATATGACAAAATAATAATAATTTATAAATTATAAAGGGTTCATGAAGGAGAGAGCAGTGGGGATGGAGGGGGCGAGATGAGGAGCTGATCCCAAGGGCTCAAGCAGAAATGTTTGAGAACGATGATGGCAACAAATGTACAATTGTGCTTGACACAATGGATATATGTATGGATTGTGATAAGAGTTGTACGCGCCCCAATAAAATGATTAAAAAGACATCAGAAAAGAAAGAAAAGATCAAAGTGGATATCAGAAGAGACTCTGAAACCTGTTCTTCAACATAGAAAGTTAAAGCAAATGAAGAAATGATGTAAAGAGCAAAGCAGGATTTTCAATGGCAGTTTGAAAGGGAAAAGGAGAGTATCAGAATGACATGTGCCAAGGCCTTGAGTTAGAAAGCCAACAGAGAAGAGCCCGCTCAGCATTTCTCAAGCTGAAAGAAACGAAGAAAAAAAATCTAAGCCTCAAGCTGCAATACTGAAGGACTCTGGGAGCAAAATATTGAATGATGAAGGAAGTGTCAAAACAAGAGGGAAGGAATAAACAGAGTCACTGCACCAAACCAAATTGGCTGACATTTCAAGAGGTAGCATATAATCAAGAACCCATGGTATTGAAGGAAGAGGTCCAAAATGCACTGAAGGCATTGTCCAGAAACCAATCCCAGACTTGATGAAATACCAACTGAAATGGTTCAAAAAACCCACGCCGGGCTAGCAGTACTCCATAATACATGCAGAGAAATTTTGAAGATAGGCAACTGGAAGAGGCCCCTATCTTTGCCCTTTCCAAAGAAAGGCAATCCAACAGAATGCAGAAACTATTGAGCAGTAGCAAGAATATCACATGGAAATAACAATTAGCTAAAGATCATTCAAAAATGGCTTTAGCTGTACTTTGACAGGGAGATGCCAAAAATTCAAGTTGAATTCTGAAGAGAACATGGAACAAGGGAGATCATTGCTGACATCAGATAGATCTTGACGGAAAGCAGAGATACTATAAAGATGTTCACTTGTGTTTTATTGACTATGCAAAGACATTTGGCTACTTGGATCTTAACGAGCTATGGATAATATTGCAAAGAATGGAAATTCCAGAAACTTAATTGTTCTCAGCTGCAATCTGTCGACAGACTAAGAAATAGTTGTTCAAACAGAACAAAGGGACACTGCATGGTTTAAAATCAAGAAAGGTATGCATCAGGGTCATGTCCTTTCAGCATGCTTACTCAGTGTCTATGGGGAACAAATAAATCTGAGAAGTCAGACTATATGGATAGGAACACGCATGAGGATTGGGAAAAGGGGAATTAACACTTTCCATATGCAGATGATACAACTTTGACTTGCTGAAAGCCAGGAGGACTTAAGGCAGTTGCTAACAAAGGTCAAGGCCTGCAACCTTCTGTATGGATTGCAACTCAATGTAAAGAGAACAAAAATCTACACAACTGAACAACAGACAACATTATGATAGATATATGGAGAGAATGTTGAAGTTCCCAATTATTTTATTTTATGTGGATCCACAATCAATGTTCATGGAAGCAGCCATTTAGAACCTGACTGACATATCACATCAGGCAAATCTGTTACACAAGAACTCTTTGAAGTATTATGGAACAACAATGTCACTAGAAGGATTAAGGTGCACCTGACCCAAGCCATGGTATTTTCTTTAAAAAAAAAAAATCCCAACAGTTTTATTGACATATAATTCACATATTATACAATTCAATAGTTCAATCACATCAAGAAGATGTGTACAATCATCACCACAATCAGTTTTAGAACATTTGCTCAATCTTGTACTCATCGTTATTAGCTCCATGATGGCATTTTCAATCACCTCATCTGCATGTGAAAGCTGGGCAATAGGTATGGAAGATTAGTGGTTATCCTTGGGCTGTGATCCACAAGGTCGGTAGTTCGAAACCACCAGCAGCTCTGGGGGAGAAAGATGGGGCTGTCTATTCCCATAAAGAGTTACAGTGTCGGAAACTCCCAGGGGCAGTCCTACCATGTCCTATAGGGTCACTATGGGTCAGCATCAACTTGATGGCAGTGAGTGAGAGAGAAAGTGAGGTATTTGAATTATGGTATTGGTGAAGACTATTTAAAGTACCATGAGCACCAGAAAAACAAACAAGTGTGTCTTGGAGCAAGTATTGCCAGAATGTTCCTTAAAAGATGGCAAAACTTTGTCTCAGATGCTTTGTGCATGTTAACAGGGGGGATATGTCCCTGGAGAAGGATGTCATGTTTGGTACAGAAGAGGGCCGGCGACAAAGAAGATCCTCGGTAAGGTGTATTGACACAGTGGCTGCAACAATGAGCTCCAGCATGCCCGGGGCGAGGATGGCACAGGATGGGGCAGGGCTTCGTTCTTCTGTACGACTCACTATGTATGCTGGGGAACAGGCTTGATGGCGCCTGACTACAGCGTACAGGACAAAGCTGTGTGGGCTAAGTTGTGAACTCCTCCAGGCAAAAACCATTTCATTACCTAGTCCCCTTCCTGTTCCCCCCACACCCCACCCCGGACAAAAAATTCCAATAGACTACATTTCCCCCCTTTCCTATTAGGCCACTGCTTTTTGGAAGACTCGTCATGTAAAGTAGCAATAGTTTGGGAAGGTGGTGTTTGGATGATTAAGAAATGTGACAGGAGATGCAGAGGAAGTCATCATTTATTGTCATGATTTCTCCTTAAGGAGTTTTCTCAGCCACCCCAATAAGAGGGTAACACTTTGCTTGAACTATTTCTGCCCCAGAGTTGGTAAAGAGCTGTGTCCCCAAGCCCAGACGCCAACAGCACTTCAAGCTACCATTGGCCACAGCAAGACACCTCTGCGATGCTGCTGGACGCCCAGGCGCGGAGGTCCCTTGCAGGCCAGGTAGCAACATCTCCTGGGTTAACAGAATGACTCTGAAAATGGGACTACTGAAACACCATGAGGAAAGAAACGAATGAAAGTGTCTTCTCAGAGCGATTTGCTCTTGTGAGCATCTTTTTCTATTGCTGATGGCAATGTAAACATCGCATTGTACAGATTCTTTCCCCAAACCTGATTTGGAATGCTCAATAAATTATAAATAGAAAAGAAGGAAGGGAGAAGTTGATGCCAGGGGCTTAAGTGGAGAGCAAATGTTTTGAGAATGATGACGGCAACGAATGTACAACAGTGCTTGACACAATTGATGTATATATGGATTGTAATAAGAGTTGTATGAGCCCCTAATAAAATGATTTTTTTAAAAAAGAAATGAAAAGACATGGAGTTTTCCCATGGGGGAAAAAGAAAAAGAAAAAGACCGTCTCTTGCCACCATCATTTCATTAAAGCATTTATTTAACTCTCTAAAAGGAAAGTGAGTCTAGGTCAATTTTAGAAAAAAAGGAAAACTCATTACATTGGGTTTCCATGGTTCACAAAAGTAGAAAAGAAAGGAAGGCAGGAGAAAGGAAGAGCAGGACATTTTTTAGAAGATCGTTGGAATCACTGGAGCCACCTCGATCCTGGGCTGAGCCTCCAGTCCACTTTTGACTCAAGGTTGTTTATGCCCACCACCACCCCCGCCCCCAAACAAAACAAAAAATAAACCATAAACTGTCACTGAGACAATTAGGACTGATAGGGGTCCTGCAAGACAGAAGACAAGGGGCCCTTTGGGTTTCTGTGATTGTAAACCTTTGTGGAAGCAGGTAGGCTCCTCTTTCTCCCAAGGAACCGCCTGTGGGTTGGGACTTCTGATGTTGTGGTTGGCAGCCCACTTTGTAACCAGTCAGCAAACCTGAAGTAGACCTCAACTGAGCAGCTACACGAGCATTAATCACTTCTCTTCTCAAGCTTCCTCTCAACGGGCTTGCACCAGTCCAGCTAAAACTATTCCACTGCTCAGCAGCCGCTCAATTATCAATATTCCACTGCCCAGTAGTCCCTCTGTGCAAAGCACCCTGCTGCCTGCTTCCCCTCGGCAAGCTGTTTAGGGTGCTCAGTCCTTGAGAGAAGATGAGGCTTTCTGCTCCCCCAAGACTAGCAGCCTTGGACATCCACAGGGGCAGTTCTGCTGTGGGGTTTCTATAAGCCACAATGGACTCAATGACAGTGAGCTTGGTGTTGGGTCTGGGTTTGGTGGCCTTGTGTGTGAGGCTTTGGGCTGCTAACTACAAGGTCATTGGTTCAAACACAGCAGCAAATCCGAGGGAGAAGAATGAGGCTGTCTGCTTCCGTAAAGATTTAAAGGAGCAAAGGGGAGAGAGGAGTTCCAACTGAAGGGGGCACTGAGTTTCTGCCAAGGTGAGGCAAAGCGTTTGAAAATGGAGCGTGACGTGACCCCGGAATTGTCCTCACCATTTCCCACAGATTTTACCGACAGTGAGGATGGAAGAAGTGCTTGGGGGCACAGAATTCTAGGCTTTGAGGAAGGAGGCTGAGACTGAAAATGGAGCTCAGTTTTATTGAACAGATATTAGACAAAGTCATGTCATCCACCTCAGTCGCGTTTCTACCGATCCATGGACTCAGGAAACAGACTCGTCTCCAGTTCTAGGGCGGGCTTGTGTGACATCGAACGTCTTGCACCCAGCTCTGGTCCAACAAGGGCGGGCGGGGAACTGTGGGTCAAAGGGTTCGCCTCAAAGCATCTGGCGAGGAAGCCAGCCTTCTCGAAGGCCTTCAGGACTTGCCATGCAGTCTTGTGGAGGCGTTTTCAACCCTCTCACAGATGAGGAAACAAAAGAGGAGTTAAATGCAGCGTTCAAGGGCATAAACCTGCTGAAGCAGGAAAGTTGCCCTTGCAGTCCACGTCCAGGCCCTCCTCCTTCAAGGCCTGAACTATAGCAAGTTCTTCCTAGACGTCTCCCAACTCCTTGTCGGACTGCCAGTCAACACTGTGTCCAATCACAGTGCGCAGACCAATGGGGTGGGGTGGGGCCGCCCCGCCCGCCTCGCACGCCCTGCAGGTGCTGCCCACCTGCTCCCCGTGAGCCCTGGTAGGAGTCTCCAAAGCAGACGCTACTGAGCCCCTTTGGGTGGAGTGCCACTCTGCCATTTTGTTTTGTTACATAAAACTCATCTTTTAAAATAGGAAGCAACATTGGCCATGAGTCCTAGTGGCGCAGTGGGTTGGGCACTCAGCAGCTACCTGGAAGGTGTGTGTGTGTGGGGTGGAGTTGGACCAGCCAGCTGCCCCGAGGGAGGAAGTTCAGGTGGTCTGCTTCAGAAAGAGCTTAGAGCCCCAGAAACCCTGTGAGGAGATTCTGCTTTGTTGTATAGGGTGGCCACAAGTCAGAGTCCAAAGTGGGGTTTTAATATTGCCCCAATACTTCACTGGATTTCCTCATGAACGTGTCAAGTATTTCTCACGTCTTTACACGTTTTCGGCGTCCTGTAAAATCTTCCCCAATATCTCCTTCTGAAGTGGTTTCAGCTCAGATGAATGTCTGGTCTGGAGCCCCACCCACACACAGGTGTGCACTATGTAATGTCCCACGGGGGGTGGGGGGTGGAGCTTCTCAGAAGGTGCCCAGGGACAGGGCCAGCTATGAGTTTGCCACGTTCTGCATGGGCTTGCTCCCTACCAGGGCTCTCTGCCCAGGAGCCAGGTCCCCAGTTGCCGCTGCTGGTTCCACTGGTGCGTGTCCTGTCCTGTCACCCCTTCATACCCGGGCCTACAGGGAGACGCCGTCCCCCTCCTCCAGGCTGCTGACTCGCAGCCCAGGGGGCTGCTCAGGGGACCCCCCAGCACCTTGAGGCAAACACAGGTGCAGTGCTCGAACCATAAGCTTACGGGTGTAAAGAAGCTTCAGAGCAGTTTGAGCGGTGGCTTTGAGACGCATATTGAATACATACAGACATATTCACTATACAACGTACAGAACGCGCCATGGGCCGTAATCAATGCATACCCGCACACCTGTGGCGTTGCACTCTGGGATCTGGCCCTCCTCTGCGGCAGCCTCCCATGGCAGTGAGGTCTGGACCGTTCTCATCCTCGTAAACACCCAGCCCGGTGCCCGGCAGGTTACGCTGTCCCTGTTTGTGGAATTCTGCCAATAGGCATGTTTGTGATGGTGCCGCAAACCAGACCCACCCAGCAACTCCACAGGAGAAACACGTGATCTACTCACATGGATTAGAGCCTAGAAACCCCAATGGGGGAAGTTCTCCTGTCACATGGGGTTGCTGAGTCCACACGCTCCCAAATGGCCAGTGCCACCGGAACCTGAAATATCTTCCATTTTTCCTCTAGTGAGTCTAGTCAATATGCCTCTGAAAAACCCGCAGGGATCACCTCTCAGCCTTCTACCGCTACGCGCCCCGCTCTTGCAGCCAAAATCAAGCGCCAAGGCTGCCCTCCGGTGGTTCTGCAAGGTAATGCAAGACAAAGAAACGGGTTTGGGGCGGCCTTTATTGGAAGCTTATTGCTGCATAACGGGGCTCAGGGGGATTTGGAGGTGGAAGCAGTGTCCTGGAATGTGGCTCTCCTCTCCCCGTTGGTCACAGTGGTAGGTTTCTTCAGAAAAGCCTCGGAGACCGGTCCAGTGATCCCCAAAGTTAGAAGTGGAACTGGAAGGCCTCGGTCACGTGCTGCTTCCACGCCTCCAGGCTGGGCAGCGGGGAGGAGATGCCCATGACGTGCCAGGTCTCCCCATCCGACACCACCGAGGTCTGATAAGACAGCAGCTGCACGTCCGCCTCTGCCAGCAGGCCTGTGGGACAGAAGACACCCTGGTTGACATGGAAAAGGAGGAGGGAGGGGTGGGGGGTGGGATGAGATGCGGGGCTGCAGTGACCAAAGCTGGTGCCCCTGGGTGGTGCAAACAGTGAAGTGCTCCACTACTCGTGGAGAGGCTGGCATTTCAAATGCAGAGGCATCTGTGAAGAAGTGCAGCCAAAAGGTGGTTGCCCTGAAAGCACTGTGGAGCGAGGGAGAGCATGCCTCTGAATACGAACGAGGGTGGTAGACCCCCCTCCCCACAAAAAACAATTGTTTTTCAAAGCTATATATTTAAAAAAAATTTTTCAAAACAACCCTATCACCTTCTAGGTACTCTCCATTACACTTAATACTTTGTCAAATCTGTGATTCCATTCTTGGAAACATTTGTCAAATTCATCTGTTTGGATGGCAGACAGCACCTTCGTTTTTTTCTTCAGCTCTTCTACATCGCCAAATCACTGATCTTTCATGTCCCTCTGCATTCATGGAAACAAAAAGGAGTCCCATGGAGCGAGGTCAGGTGAGTAAGGTGCGTGGGGCAAGAGGGGTATGCTGTTTTTTGGCCGGCCAAAAACTGGCACACGGAGATGGTGGCGTGAGCTGGTGCATTGTCGTGGTGGCAAAACCAGTCCCCAGTCTACCAGAGATGAGGCCTTTTGTTCACACTGTTGCACAATATTCTCTGAATCTCTAAATGTAAAGTTTGATGAACAGTCTGACCTGGTGGGATGAACTCCAAATGCACTTTCCCCCTCACACCAAAAAACACAAATGCCTATTGCCTTGATCTTTGATTTCATTTGACAAGCTTTTTTGGGGGGTGAGGTGATGAGGGCATCTTCCACCGGCTTGCTTGAGGTTTGCTTTCGAGGTCATAAGACTAGCACCACATCTCGTCACCAGTAGTGACCTTGGGGAGAAAGTCTGGGTTGCTTTGGAGCTGTTCTTTCAAAGCACGCTATGTTTCCACTCAACACTCTCTGCTGGTCAGTCAGAATCTGAGGCACAAATTCTGCACTGACCCTTCTCATTCCCAAATCTTCCATCACAATGCACTGAACCGAGCTCCAGGAGAGTCCAGATAGCTTCCCCATCTCTGCAGTGGTTCCTGGTCTGTCTGCAAGCACAAGTGCTCACATTTTGTCAACATTTGCATCCATTAGGGAAGTGATGGATATCCAGAATGAGGTTTGTCATCAATCAACATTTCACCTTTTTTGAAATGAGAAAACTACTCATACGCTCGAGTTTTTTCCCATAGCTCTGTCCTAGTAAGCTGTGTTCAACATCACAACAGTTTCTGCTGCATTTTTCCTGAACAGGAAACAAAATTTCACAGTCAGCACACAGTTCTCTTAAAAACTGGCCATGACCAAAAATGAGACTAAAACAAAACTGCTTTTATGAAAAAATTCACTGTGGCCAGAGAGAACCTTCCCAGGTGACACCACTGGGTGCACTAACTCAGAGCGAGTTGGTCGATGTTCACTTAGTGGAAAAGATGCATACGCCCAGCAGAGTTTTGGAGGGAGGTACCCCTTCATATAAAGATAAACCAAGCCGGTCAAATACATAGAGGTTTGAATAATCGACCATTTGAGGTCAAAGGGGTGAGATTCACTCAAAGACAAAGGCCAGAAGGGCTAGGAAAGAAGGAGGGATGGAAACAGGAAACACAGGGAGGAAGTGGGATCGGGATGCGACACTGGGGGCGTTTCAATGACTGAGATGAAACGAGTGGTCTGAGTGTTGACTGGACATTCACTATCCATTTATTTATTGTTCAAGCTCATGGGCATCCACTAAGGTGCACCGCTGGTCTCTCCCTGTCTGGAGGAAAGAAAATCATAGACACATGACAAAAATTAATGAGATGGGTGGAGGGTCCACTCAAAACTCAGTCTCTGAGACAAGAAGAACTAGACGGTGCCCGATAACCCCTTCCGATACTCTGAAAGACACCACCTTGGAGTGAGAGAAAAAACACCGAGCAAAACTCAAATTTACATAAAAGGCCAGGAGGCATACTGCTCAGGTAGAGACTGTTAAAAACCCAAAGACAATGCTGCTCAGTCGCACTTCGGGTCTGGAAAATCGCTGACCTTCCACGGCCTAATTTTCAGCCAAACGATGGAGAGGTGTATTGGAAATGGCAGCACTAGTGAGTGAGGCATCCTCCTGACAGCCCTCAACCATTCCCGTTCAAAGAGGCCCAAGGACAAAGTTCAGAAAGGTTAGGAAGGAAAGGAGGAGGAATGGAGACAGGGGACACGGGGAGGAAGTGGGATACATACATGAGGTGGCATTGTGGGAACTGCAATCAAACAAAAATGTCTAAGGATTGTGGACTGGAAAACCGATCTGCTCGTAAACATTAGCCCCCAAAGAAAAGCCCTCCGGAGCAGTTCTACTCTGCACACAAGGGGTCGCGGCAACTGGAACCAACCCCACTGCAACCAACTGCACTATCAAAGCAGCGAGGGAGAACCATGGTCACGGAATCCAAGCCATCAGCGTTGGAAGGAGTAAGTGCAATTGGCCAAAGCTGTTCCAGAGACGGGGAGCACCCTGGCTATCGGGCACAGAGGACTCCAGAGAGCCGTAGCCATTTTGACTTGGCAACTGCCGCTTTATCTAGACCAACAGTACGAGTGGAAAGCAGGGAAAGTTCTGCTGGGCACCTTGGCAAGGATGGCAAAATGCAGGCCTCTGACACACCTTCTAAAAAACCTGGATGTGCTCCCAGCCAGCCCCCAGGGACCAGAGCTCAGCATAGCGGCAGGATAGCTGCTGGAAGGGATGCCCTGGCAGGCTCGGTTACAGCCTGGTTGGCCATCAGGACCTGCGGTCAGTAGGTCCTATGGTCAGGCCTGAAGTCCTGGGAGCTTGCGCCTCAGTCCAGGCCAGCAGGAGCTCTGGTCCTGACCTTCACACGCTCTGCAGCCTTGAAGAAGGAAGACCCTCCCCTTCTCTGCAGGCAGTCCATTGCTCTGACTGCTCTGGGAATGGGCGTGACAGACGGCAGCAGGATGCTGACACCGAGCTGCTCTGGGGTGTGGAGAAGAGGCAGAACATCTGTGGGGCCCATTCTCAGGGACAGAAAACCCCATCCCTGCCAGCTGTCCCCATAGGCCCCTCCTCACCAATCATGGTTGGCAGCATGGCAGGGTTGGAGGGCTGAGCCCGGAACATGAGCAGAGGCAGGCCCCTGCGCAGAGTCACTTCCGGTCTGAAGACTGCTCCGTTCAGTGCCTGCAGCACAGGTGTGGTGCCTTGAACCGAGCCTACAGCTTCGTAGGGGGCACCTGCCAGGGTCACAGTCAGGAGGCATTCCCCACAGCCCTGTTCCCCTGGTGGGGCAGGGGTGTGGGAGGTGGTCACCTGTGAAGACAAAGCAAGGAGGCTGTGATTTGTCCCCTCGACATCACATCCATCCTCCCCCTTGGCTCAACAGGCCACTGGTCATGCTGGGACACAGTGCTCCATTCAGGGGCAACGGGGAGACAGCTAAGCTTGTGCCCTTGGGCACTGGCTTCCTGGGATGCCACAGGCTCTCTGGAGGAGGGACACAGTGATCTTACAGGTGCAGGTGCAAACTTGGGAGAGGGGCAGTGGAAGAGAGGGAGGCAGCGGGCCATGGATGACTCAGCCTGGCCACTCCCGCTGTGACTTACTGCTTCCAGCGCAGGATCAGTGGTCCGGCTGGGCAGATGGTAGTTGGAAGGGAGGAGGAAAGAGGGGGGATGTGGGATGCAGAAGGATTTTCCCCCAGGTTGTCCCCCAAATACCTGCCAAACCTAAGACGCTGCAAGCAACACGTAAATGACAGTATACTTGGAGGTCAATGTCAGCCGCTTAGAGGTTATCTGGCTGAGGGTTATCAGCCATCTAGAGCAGTCAGATGCTGTAGTTTGTCTCACCCTAAGTAGGCCCCACTGCCTGGTGATAAGAATAGTAGATTATCTCCCTGAAGGAGCCCAGAGACAAGGTGGAGTGAACTCAAGGAGGACCAAGGTTAGGCTGCCATCTTGAATCTAGGGTCCGCCCATCTTGTCACAGGTGCACCCTTAGTGCCACCCCTTCCGATTGCATGTACACCCCTAGCTCATCCCCTTCCTGTCACCCATATGCCTATTGGACAGCGCCTTCCTGTTATGTATGTGGTTACTCAGTGGGGCTTGCATGCCCCCTAAGGATATAAAAGCCTTGGTCAGAAATATATTTGCTCTCCCTCTCCTGCTCTCTGACGGACCTGGCTGCTGAGATCATGGCCATCCGGGAGGGGAGCAATTGCACCTTATATTGTCTGATGTCTCTTTAATTTTACCCCTCAGTTACACAACCGCCCATTGGAACTGTTTGATTGTGGGAGCTGGTACCCTAGTGGGGAAGGAGGAAGTTGGGAGGCAGGGGAGAAAGTCTCTGCATGGAGTCCCGGGTGATTCGAATGGCTCCTTCTCTAGCCTGTTCACTGAAAGATCTGGAGGCTTGAGCCCATCCGTTGAGAACTCGAGGGTGCACAGTTCTGTTCAGACATGACTCAGAATCAACTTGATGGCAACGGATTGCAAACACGGCTCTGGGCTTCCAGCGCCCATCGTGTCCGGCAGCTTCCCCAGGCTGAGAAACGCAAACTTCTATCTGCGAGAGGGGCCAGAGGTGAGGAGGCAAAGGGAAGCAGTGAGGGGCAGGAGAGGATGCGTGGGGCACTCTGCTTGCTCTCACGGTTGGAGCTCATCAGGAAGCGGAGCGCCGAGGGGAAGGCACACTGGGGGGTGGGCAGGGGGCAGGGGTTCAGGGCCCTCTCCAAGCCCTCAGCCGGCCAGATGCTGCCTGGAGGCTCGGCCAGGTTGCCATTCTCCTCCGCAGGAAGATGGAGTGCTAGGGATGGAATTGTGTGCCCAGATACGTGCACGGACACCCTGACGCCTGTACCTGGAAATACAAGCGGGCTTCAGAAGGTTTTGTGGGAAAATTCCATTCTATTTTTCCGCAAACTTTTGAAGGCCCCTGGTAGGACACTGTTTGGAAATCGGAATTTTCCTTTTGCGCGGTTAATGAAGTCCTACCAATGATAGGAGATGAGTCCTAAGCCTGATCACTTCAGGGACTATTTTTTTTAAAATGCAAAAATCAAAACCACAACTCACTGGCATGAGCCAATGCAATTCACAGCAACCCCCGAAGACAGAGTAGAACTGCCCCTGCGAGTTTCGGAGACTCACTCTTGGTGGGAGTAGGTAGCCTCATCTTTCTCCCGAGGAGCGGCTCGTGGGTTTGAATTAACTGCTGACCTTTCGGGTCACAGCCCAGGGAGTGGACACTCGGCACCAGGGCTCCCATGGGTCATAGAAGAGGCTCAGAGGCACGCCAGGCAAGACGCCGGGTGAAGACAGGCACATGGGACAGAAACACCAGGGTTTGCTGGCATCTGCGAGAAGCTGAGAGAGGTAGGGATGGTCCTCCCTGGGGGGCCACACCCTGAATTTAGAGCTCTAGCCTCCCGGACTGGGAGAAATAAACTTGTGCTTCAAACCCACCTCCCTGAGGTTTGCTTTTGTCCACAGCCCTACCTCGCCAAGACATGGGGACACTACTATCCTGTTGCCTGTCACGCTCATGCCTCTTCACAGTGACCTTCATAGGTGGACAACACACCGTCCTCTCAGACCCAGGGTGTAAACTCGGTGAGTAGGACTGTAGGGAGCCCTGGTGCCACCGTGGCACGCGCTGGACTGCTAACCTTAAGATCAGCAGTTGGAAAGGTGAAGCTGTCCACTCCCGCAAAGATTTAAGGTCTTTTAAACCCACAGGGGAGCTTTACTTTATCCTATGGGATGGCCATGAGTCCGAAGCAAGTCCTCGGCCGTGGGGTGAGGGGTAAGGCTATAGTGAAGGCGAGAAGGGGCAGGGGTGGGGCGTACATTAAGCCCGGCTTCCTTCACCAGCAGCTTAGCGTTCACCAAGTTCACGTCCGCCTGATTGGAGGCTTCCTTCAGGAGGCCCACAATGACGGCGGGGCTCAGGCAGTTCCCGGCATTCTTCAGGGATGTTCCTGGGGACCAAGAGAAACTACCATTAGGACCCTGTTGGGAACATGAGATGGGCATCAGGCCGCTGGCCCCACCTCCCTCATTCACGGGTCCCTGGGGCTCAGAGCCAGCTGGGGCAGAGGCACCCTGGGGGCTCAGCTGGGAAACCCCTGGATGCTCTCCACCTCTACCTGCCCTGAGAAACGCCTCTGGAAGACAGGTCGACCCCCCTTCGTGCCGCCCCGCCACTCGGCCGGGTTGGCCTGTCTGCCTTCCTAGAGGGCACACTGGGAGAACTCCCTACTCGCACCCCTTCCTGGCACTCGGTCTCTTGTGGCCTTAGGAAATGGGAACAGAAGGGAGTGACTGGGTCACCCTCTCACATCCCTCTGTGACCCAGAGTCTCTGTATCCGGAGTCTCTGTATCCGGAGTCTCTGTATCCGGAGTCTCTGTATCCGGTGCCTGGGCACACAGTGGGGGGCCCCCCCCCGGATCCTCAGTGCTTCAGGGACTAGTGCTTCCACCCTCTTCTCTACCCAAAGTACGTCAGTGCCCAGCAGTCAAAGGGGAAGGACGTCCCTTCCTGGCCTCTCAACCATATCTGCACAGGGACGGGTCCCCTCCAAAGGCATCCAGAGCCTGCGCTGTGTCCCTGAGGGGTTTGGACAAAGGGCACCTCTGGCTCCCATCCCCACCCACTCCATGGCTGAGCAAACACTCCCAAGGGCACACACTGCTCAACATGTCACAGAACACATGAGCTGCCCTCCCCCACCCCGACCTCCCCTCCTCTCACATCACAGGAGACGGGGAAGTCACATGGTAGGTTAGCAGCAGGTTCAAACCAAAAGCTAACATCCTGTTGCTTCATGGGGCCTCCCTCCTCTGATCTCTGCTTCCCGC